AAACGATTGGCTTCATGGTTCCACAAAATTTACACAAAGTGGAGCACTACTAATACATCTTGATGAGTAAAACGGTCATATTGATCAGAAAATAAGTTTTAATAAGTAATGAAGTTTATAGAAATGAGCATGCACGCATAACACAGTACTTTTAGAGGTATCTTGAAAGATATCCTGGAAGATATTATTTAAATCAAATAATACCCTTGATTATAAAGCTCAATATGAGGCTTTGAAACGGTTTAGACAAAGTAAACCTAGCTACACATGATCGACAATATTTATGACTACTATATGATGTGTTAGTAGATGACGAACTCTATACTGATCGTAACCGACCCATCTGTAAGTATTGGGACTACAAAAAAAGAATTTTCATTGACCGTAATTAGCCATAATAATTCAACTTCTGAAACATTGCTTTATACCTTTTTCCAAACTAATCATCGAATTCCTCGAAAGTAAGAAGTACTTAATTTCTCTATTGTTAAATCACTTTCGATAAGTTTGGTGATCGCTTGTTTACTTTTGTAGTAATCACAACGCTGACAGCAGGCGAACTGAATGTGATGTGGATCACTTTGAGTCTCTCGAAAATTGACTGTTTTACCACCTATTTTTCGTAGCACTTGAGACTATTGAAAGGTTTTGTTCATTATTCGGTACAATTTGTACTACCAAGGCAGAGAAATGTATATTATGCTTTCCACACTTGATATATAACGTCATAAATGATTATTATTCATTATATCATCGGGATCCAGTTTTCTATACACGAAATTTCCTAGTTGTTAATCATATGAAGAGATTTTGTTGCTATACTCTTTTCATTGATCTTATATATTGGATTCGGGCAGATTTCTTTATCTATTATGACGAAAACCACACGATGTTGTATGTGTTCGTTATCAGCAACGCAATAACAAATAGGTATGGTTCTTGGTATAAGTTATGGAGTAGCTGCCTAATCGGAGTTCGAAGATAATTGAAATTTTCAAAGACATATCCCTTTCCCATTAGCCAAAGCAAAAAGGTAAAGTTTAATCTATATTTGAATTGAGACTAGACTGTCATATAACTATGGCAGAAAAGCAAACGATAAAGTTTAATCCATATTCGAATTGAGACTAGGCTGTCGTATAATTGCAACAAAAAGCAAAAGATAAAGTTTAAGCCACATTCAAATTGAGACCAGGCTATCATATAACTGCGACGAAAGAGCAAAAGATAAAGTTGTATTCGAATGATAGTTTAAATTGTAATTTATAATTCCTTCGAAATTTTTTTTTAATACTACTGCAATTCTCTTAGATACTTCAGGCATCACTAGAGATGCATCAATTGCGATGCTAGGAGTACGAATAGAATGGTATAGCATCCACTTGACACGTTGCAAACTGCTCCTCACATCCTTAAAACAACAGCTCGATCTCTATAGGAAGCATTTAAAACGCTTCGATTCTGGTGACAGAATAGTGGATGAACAGAAATAGGTAGCAAGATCAAGGACATACTGAAGTGAGGTAAGTTGCATTTTCAGATAGGTTTGCAAAAAAAAAGACTGATTAGATCACTTAGAAATAAAAATAATGCTGACGTAATCGTTATATCTGGGTATCGATTAGCTGGAATCCGAGTAATGTTGAACATTAGTCCTAATCATTACTGCAAATTAAAAGGATGTAGCTTCCCCTGAATACTAATGTTAAAATGACAGCCATAGTTGCAATTATTGTGCACATAGAAACGAGCATGGAACGCGGATCTTCGGAAGAGCTTCGCACCCTCCCTCCCCTTCAACACCGCAACTTTGAAATAAAACGTCAGTGATGTGGGCAGCAGGTTTTTTTGGACAGAGTCGTGGTATTGATGAGAAGAACCGTACCTTCAAACATCCAACCACACCTATCATCTTTTGATGAAGCTGTGCAGATAATCTCCTAGAGTCACGCAGGGCCCACTGTAAAATCACTGAGAGACTCGAAGAGATTGTTCCAGACTCTTTGGAGGCTACCTGAAAATTTACTTTAGATTTTCTGGATCTCCTATAGATCCAATCGAGATCCCCAAAATATCCTCCCACTATCCTCTGAAGACCCTCTCAGAATCTTCTTGGAATCCTTTCAGAATCCTCTGAAGCCTCCCTTCAAGTCATGAACAGAATAGTCTTTACATGAATTGTAATTTAACATTTAGATAAAACTGAAACTTTGACTTTTTGGCTAATGCGATGCTGGTTCGAATTTGTTTTCATTTATTTTCTAATGGGTATTTAGCTTCGGCAGCTTCATTAATATTCGAACTCAAATTAGACAACACATATAACATGTTTGACTGCATCGAAAATGTAACTTGAAAAGATCTAATTTCTGCCTTTCTGCCATAGAACTTTGATATCATAGTCTCAATTCGAATTCGAATAAAAAATCATCTTTTATTTTTTATCGTGATCATATGGTAGGGTGTGGTTGTGGGTGTGGATGTGAATGTAGATGTTGTTCACCTCTTCAACGCACACCCACACTCACCCACTCATCCAGACATCAACACCCACATCCCACACCCACCGACACCCACACATCTTGTGCACGTGACATGACAGTCACAAATTCCTTTTGTCGATTTGGTCTTTTCCTAAGTATATTTTAAGGGCAGCAAATTATCTGCTCTTTTTTTATCAGGAACATTTTGTTTTTGTGGTGTCTACTTCAGCAACTACTCTCTCTATAGGCATTAGGAATTTTGTTAAAAAGAACGAGAGGGAAGCATGTAAATAGAGGCTGCAAAGCCTATTTCAACATTCATTTCGATTTCATTTTTTCTTCCTGCAGGTAAATATTGACAAGTGAGTTGTTTTTTTCTTTTCTTGTAACATACTCTTTTGATGGTTTTTATCCCGGTAACTGCTCTCTCTGACGAGTATAGAGCTTCCACTGAAAAAGAGCATAAACATCATATCAAGAGGGATGCACAACCTATTTGGACTTGTATTTTAGATTTTCTTTTCCTTCAACGCGTAAATATTAATGATGAATTGTTGTTAGTTTCGTCTTCATGATGGCATGTGTGGTTATTTTGATTTATACATGAGTCCTTATTCCTTCTTCTCTCTGGCTGTTAGGCTTCTACTGCAGACAGTGATAGAAATCAAACTTAGAACCAGATTGGAATATTGGATGTTGCATAGATGTCATATTTGATTTTCACAGAATCCTTACTCACGCCCGCATTCTAATCATCTTTTCCTCTGTGCTTGTAATCAATTTTTGTAGTTGTCTGTTCTTTAGAAAATCAAAAAATGTCAACAGCAGAATACAGTCAAGCAGAAGTAAACAAGATTGTCGGGAAAATTGGTGACGATGCGGTAGCGGCAATTCGGCATTATGTGCAAGAAAAAGTGAACGAAATACAGACACAAATAGAAATGGAGAAGCGCAGACCAACTAATAGAAAACGAAGTGCGCAAGGGGAACATGTGATTAATAGTGATGTGCTAAATATTCACCAAGATATTATTGTTAATTTTTTTGAGTTAAAAAACAAAAAAGTTGACTCCGAGGAGAGAAGAAAACGTTTGGAAAACAATCCTCATACTAAAGAAGACTTCTTTCGTACAATAGCACTTCCACAAGCGGATACTATTGACAATATGGTCGTTCACATCAGCCCGAGTGATCCATACTACAATGGAAATGCTATACTTTTTGGCACTCTAAAGGAAATCCTCGTAAGATTTGCCGTAAAACACATGACTATGTTGTATGACATATTCAACAATACTCGCGACTGCAGTATCTACGATACTGATTATACTGACCCATTCAAAGAAACAGTTAATCAAATGTGTAAGCATAAAGTTTATGTTGATTTTTTAGCATTAGATTACGGAAAAAAGAAAGACAAGGGATTCAAACACAAAGATAGAGGCAGCACCAAGACTTATACTAGTGCAGAATATGACAGCGCACTACTTCAAGTAGAAGCTATGCTCGAGCAACTTTATAACAAACTTGGTATTTGGACTGAAGCAATTTACAAATCGAATATGCTCAATAGTCCAACCAGATAAATCCAAGAAAACAACGAACAACAGTCTTACTCGATTTCTAATATAAATGGAACAACACACGAAACCACTATTTGACAGTTTACTGTTGCGCGTGTAAAAATGACAAATAAATTTCGATTCGAACTCACGTTCCAATTCGAGTCTTTGCTGTTCAACATAGAAAATAAAACGGTATTTAGATTTGAATTTGGTGGTTGTGGATGTCGGTGTGGGTGAGTGTTTCTCTGGATGTGTCTTTGTATGTGTGGATGAGGGTATGTGTGGAAGTGTTAATTAAGAGACAGAAGATCTACGCTTTATCCCCACACCCACCCTCTCAAAATTGGTGAAGATTTTCATGAGAAAACCCTGAATTGCTGTGAAAATAATCCACCGAAAATGCAGGATAATTTTGAAAAACCTGTCGTGATTTGCATAAACATAGAGAATCTACAAACTGATGATAATACTAAGTAGAATTCGACGAGCGTTATCGATTCCCATTTTCACCTTTTCAATTCTACCTAAATATGAGGACCAAAAGTACTAAATACTAGTAAAACTCACTATGGTCCATGAAAAAACCATCATGATTCGCTTGGCAACTATCTAAGTGAATGAAAACCTCGTTTTCAGATGGACCTCGATGAGCTCTATCGATTTCAATGCTCGGCTGTTCAATTCCCACTAAAGTTGGTGATAAAAATTGGTAATTATTGGTGGAATTTACTGAAACATCGAATGAAATCTTTGAAGAAGAATTTCGATCGATTCTTTATTGGTTAAAACATTCAGACGAACATTTTGATTCTGGATTGTGATTAATTGTTTCAAAAGAGAAATTTTAAATTATTCCGATTTAAAAGATATTTAGTCAACTACCGATTAGAAAAAAAAGATAAAAACTAGTTCATGATAAATCAATCGCTGATAAATATATGAAAATTTCCAATTAGTTAGTTTGTGTACCACGACAGATTGGACATTGATTTGAAGTCTAGAAAAAAGAAAATCAAACTGAATTACACGGAGGAATTTCTTCATCGAATACCTTTAGCCATGGATCAATACATTCAGGATGAAAGAAATGTTTACATCGTAAAACTTTCACAGTATCACCGGTTTTATATTCACTTAAACAAATTGCACACTTATCATCAGTAGATTTCGATTTACTTGTTTTTCGATAGGTCGTCGTTGGTATACGTTCAATATCACTGTCAGATAGACCAATGGAAGGTGTTTCATCATGAGCAAGTAAATCGAATAGATCCTAGAAAGAATCAGATCGATTAGATAGATTCAAATGAAGAACTTACACCCAAGTGAATATGAAGAGTAGCAGGAACAGCAAGAACATTAGGTCTTTGCATCATCAATGCAAAAGCAATTAGATCGATTGGAGCTAGAGGTGAATGATAATCATCATCATTATCATTGAATGATGGACTATGCCCGCCAAAAAGATTTCTAGAAGAGAAACGTTTTCGTTCGAAAGAAACATTCCTTGAGATACGAACTGAAGGAAATGAGTTAGAAGAGAAGCCGGATGATGAAGTTGCATTGAACTAGATGGTTGTGGAAAGGATGACATTGGAGGATCAGAAGACCGATGGATTGGAAGAGTATGCGAAGAAGATGAAGGATGATCAGAAGATTGAACGGGATTCGAATGTTGACGTGTTGAAGAAACGTCTACCGATCGATGATTTCTAGAAGACATCAAAAGTAACAGAAACGATGCAAAAATAAATTTTATTTACGAATGTAATGGATAGGATTGAGAGGGATAAGTTTCTTGTTGGTGATATCTTCGATCGTATTGATCAGAATTTCTTTCATATCTTGGATAATCTTGATCATAACGATATGATGGGAAAGCCGAGGAATGGTTTGACGGTGGTTGTTGACTTTTAAAATAATGATCATCAGATGAAGAAGAAAGATCCTGATGATTGTCATGATGCCATTGAGGATATCGTACATGTGAATGAGTAGAAGGAGCCTCTAATTGATATCGTCGATGTGGTGGATCATTCGATGAATTCTAATATTTAAATCATTGAAGATTTGTTTTATCAATAAAAAATCTCTGACTTACATTCATTCCATTGGATGCTGATCTTGTCGAATTTGTATATCCATCGGAATGAGAATATTCTCCACGATAATGATGGGGCGGAGGAGGCGGAGGATTTCTCTCTCGATTGATTTGAATGGTAGATGGAAAAGCATAATCTCTCGATGTTGGAGGTACATTTCGTCGAGATGAACTATCCGATGGTTGATGGGATGGAATGGTTACGCGACGACGCGATGATCCATACGGATCGTCGAAATATTGACGCGACATGAAAAAAACACGTGAGAAATATAATCTCTATCACCAATATTTGTTGTTGACTTGTTTGAAATGTGAGAGCAAAATTGTATCAGACGAAAAGATATTAAAGTTGCACGATAATGCACCCATCTTCCGACAATGATTCACTTAGAGTCAAATAACAGGTAGAGCCAATTAGATCTATATGAAACATGTACAATGGCAACTACCGACATCTATCTTTTTTCTCATTTCATACCTTATTTGGCAAAGAAATTAATCAGAATGGTGTGAGTGGGTGTGGGTGTGGGTGTGGGTGTGCGTTGAAGAGATGAACAACATCCACATTCACAGCCACACTCTTCCCATGACATATCGATTATCTAAGAAATCTAGTGTAATTTGTATAACTCAGTACGAATGATTTTCATATGATTTTATTTATTTGCTTCATAGGCTTCGTCTTTTCTCCACGTAAAGAGAGACAGAATTAAAAAAAAGAAACAGAAATGAAACAAAACAAGATAGCTAGTAATGAGTGGAGAGAGGCTGTTAATGATGTTATGCATATGCTCGACTCATTTCAACTAAAAATACATCAAGGCACACTGTACCGAAAATAGTCAGAAACAAACACGTTTGTTTTTAAGATAGTAGGCTTTGTAAAAAAACGGGCTTTGTAAATCTCGACGGCACAAAAAATGTTGTTTTCAGCATAAATCAATAGATAAGACCTTGAAGTACTTATAACAAATACCAGCTCTAAGTTCAAACCCAATATCGTTCTTCATCCGTTGACTTAGTTTTGTTCGTCATTTTTTATTCTTAGCTCGCATTTTGTCGTTGGATATTTTGCGCTTCTCAAAAAGACTTGATATCGCAATCCATCGATATTATCGATTGTATGAACAAAATTATTCATTTTTTTCAATTAGATTTGTTTACCGGAGGAGCATAGTCTTATTTTATATGATGTCAACGTTTATTGGAATTAAAGAAATAGCACCAGGCTTCGAACATTATAATACAATAGTTTTAATTCGTGTGTTATTGAAATCAATTGAACAAACTGGTGTCCATCAACTATGAAAACAATCATGTACCAATGTCCGTTCATCGTGGTTTAGATCTGAACGCTAAACAATAATGTCATTAGCATCCTTGAACTACTCTATATCAATTTGTAACGTACTATAATCTCCATAATTAAATATCATATTATGATTGCATGAATATTATCGATAAATGTATGCAGTAGATATACAAGGAAAATTTCCATGATAGCTCGGTAATGAATAGCAAAATCGAATAATTTTTTATGCAAGCTTTGTCACATCGTTTTGATGTATTAAACCAGATTGAATAGTATATTTTCTTGAAAATTACGAAAAAAGCAGATCGTTGTCGAGATCTTGTTTAGGAATTGTTTTTTCAATCAATTCTGTGTGAAAAACCTATTAGTAAAACTTCTTTAAAAACTTCAATTTCATTTCTTCTTTAATATAACTGAACAGTTTGATGAGAATGAAGAAGCATCGAAAAAGTTTTATCTCATATGTCTGAGGCGTTGCTAATATCACAGTAGCAGTATTCAGAATCCAAGCCTTTTTGAAGCATTCAGCCTTATTGAACGAAGATTGAATCTTTGCATTTGTCTCACATTTCCATGAGCGAAAAAAATAATCTGAACCATTGTTCAACATTACTACCGATTTGTTTGATTTCATCAAATAGCATTACACACAGTTATTACTTTTTTCCTCTTTCAGCAACTTTCATTCTTGGTTAGATGATCACCTAAATAGTATTGTTCCTGGAAATCAAATCTATGGCAGTAGCTTCCATTAAATTCTTATATAAAAATAAAAATCTAACTTCTTTTTGTACTCATCTACAAAATACGAGTTCTATACAGAAATATCTAAACTTAGAGAAACTACCAAACAGAACCAAAAAAAAAGCTTTTCCTTGGATCCATTATCACTATCGAACGAGAATAGATTAAAATTCTCTCATACAGTGATATAATTCAATCAAGAGTTAAAAGTATGCCGCTTTCTTAATTGTTGGAAAGAAATCAACCAAAATTGTGCGTCTAAAGAAAGTTAGAAACAAGTTTTCGATGGTGTAACCAACCTCGAATCATTTATCTTCTGGCAGAACACGTCAAGCTATATGAGAAAATGATCTTCGAAAGTATGAAGCAGTAGTGCGAGATGGTTATACAAAAAAGATTCACTCAAAATGATCCTATCTCGAAGAGCGAAGTGTATAGTTCATCAGAAATATGGCAAAATAAAGTCTGAAATGTTCTACATTTACATTGTTCTCTAACAAGAAAGCAATCTTAGATACTATTTCGTCATGATGCTCAATTGTGGTTTAGTCACTTTCCTGATTGCTTACTCAGAGTATTTATTTGTAGATTATCTAAATAGGCTCATACAGAATTCGATAAATAACGTCTTTCGTATTTCTATTGAGTACTTGGAAATGTACGAAACTGATATACATATATAATAGTATAACAGAATATTCGACAAAATGAAGCTAATAAATCAATGTAGAAAAACCAGTGATACTAGTCTTTTACTCTCAAATGAATGTGCATATTCACACACTCGCACATGCACATCTCACAACCACTAACACCGACATCTCCACTCATCCTGTATTTCAGAGATTCGTTTTCTTTAACTCTGCCCGTTCGATGGTAAAGATTGTTGTAAAAACTTGCTTCATCGAGGTAACTATTTTCTATTTTTTTAAGATCTATTCAATTAAACTGTTTCATCAGAATTATCCATGAAATTTTTTGCTTACATACCGCAACTAGTGGGACTAGTCGGATACGAGTTTCTTGAATCTATGTTGCTTATTGACAGATGATTTCAACAATTGATTTATTGCGAAACGTTTGCAGCATTTGATTACAAAGGCGAAAACTTTTTTCCTGCTGCTCCGTCTCAAAACAATCCTACATAAAACGGCTAGGTAGCTAGGCCACACATGTTGGCACCCCGTTTAATTTTGATAAAGCCTTCATCACCCCAAGTGATGCCCCAGGAATTTTCCATCAACCAATAATCCGTTCCATTTTGTGTTCCATAACCAATAATGACCATAGCATGATTCATATTTTCATGGGTCGGACAACCTGGAACATCGTAAATACCATATCCATAATGATCGAATTTGGCCGATGTTTGATGAAGAGCCGTGTCGTTACCTTCACGCTTTCCGGCATTGTAATAGATATAGATTGGACCCTGCTCATAGACAATTTGCTTCATGTAATTTTCATTACCTGTCGATAATTGGCGATATTGAAGGCGATGGGTTGCATTGTAGCTTAACACTTGACCGGTAAAATTTTGACATTTATCTTGTTTAGCACCTGTTGGTGTTGATGGATAATCTTTTTCCAGATTGAGTCGATCACCATTGTCATGGATATAATTGAGAACACCGACGAAACTACCACCTTCACATCCATTTTCATAGGAGCAATCGATCAATTGTTGTGGACTTAATGGACCACTAGTATTGTAGATTTGCGCATAAGTTTTTTTCAAGGCACCGACCAAAGCAAAGGCGTAACACGAACCACAATAACGTTGATTTTTTATTTGCATGACTGCATTAGGTACTCGAGTTTGATTTCTCCAATCATAAGTATCTGGTACATTATTTATTTGTCATTGTACTGCATTATTCACTGGCGTTTAATTAATCGGTTCAACGGCAATTTTTGCTCGTATTGCTGCCGATTCTTCATCTGTTCAATCGCTCATATGATTCAGTTTTAATTTAAACATTAATTGAGAATTATGATTACGGGCAAGAATCATTCTGAGATTTTCCTTGAAAATTTGCTTACGTTTCAGTTGATTGATGGAGCCCAACAGTCGCGATTGTTGTGGTCGGTAATAGCTTTGTTGATAGTAGTGATGGGTGTGGGTGTGGGTGTGCGTTGAAGAAGTGAACAACGTCCACATTCACACCCACGCTCACACACCCACACCCCACATCCACATCCACATCCACGCCCTGATAGAATTATGTACTCGCAAAAAAGTTATTAATTAAATGTTTTTGGATGACCCTATGGATCATTTTTGCTGGCAACTAAAATTTAACAAATTTATTAGATAAGAAAACGTTTTATTATCTAATTAGCTTTAATCCAATTATCACAAATTGTACATATTATATATGTAATTGTTCTTTTTCTTGTAACTTCATTTTATTTTGACTGACGAAGACAACAGCAGTTGTCGAAACGTCTCAATAATAAAAAATGATTTGCTCGATATTCTTTTCTTTATTATTTATCATTAAATGTATTTACCAAATTAAAACAAATAGTACTTATTCAAGTATTATCTGCTTTATCCAAACATAGTTATCAACTTAACCCGGTCAAATGTAGTATTTTTCATCAGCAAATCGATTATTTATCTCATACGATATCTGAACATGGTGTTAAACCAACCAATGAAAAAATTCAAGCGATTATTAAATTACGACAACCTACTAAATTATCTGAAACAAATAAATTTCTCGGTGCTCTTTCGTGGTATCGTAAATTTATACCCAAATTTGCAACAATTCCTATACCTATTCATGCTGTAAAAAACTTAACAAAAACAAATAGACACAAATTCGAATGGAGTGCTTCTCAATCTCAAACGTTTTCACAATTGAAACAATTATTAATTACTTCTCCATTATTTCTTGATTTTCCAGATGATAATTATCCTGTTATATTAACAACGAATGCATCAGCAATTGGTATTGGTGGTACATTACAACAAAATATTAATGGTGAAATAAAAAATTTATATTATCATTCTCAAGTTACATCTTCTACTCAACGACGATATGATCATATTGAATTAAAAGCATTAGCCATATGGTTATGTTTTCAACGAATGCGATCTTATCTACTTGGTAGATCTATTATAATTTATACTGATCATTATCCTTTATGCAAAATGATGAACTCATCGGTGAAAAATCGATGAGTAGATCGAATTTCTATTTTATTTCAAGAATATAATATCGAAAAAATTATTCATATTAAAGATCAACAAAATTGTTTAGCTGATTATTTATCTCCTCATCCAATACAAAATGATGAAGAAATATTTGATGAGGATTATGGCATAAGCATGTTATTTCAGGGGGAACTACCGGAGACGGTGCATGCTCCTGTCTATCAGTCTTCAATTATTGATGCTGTTGTTACGCGTTCAAAAATGAAACAAATAAAACAATAACAAAATGAAAATGAAAAAATTACACCACCCGCTGTAAATGATATATCACCGTCGTCAAGTAAAGACAAAATTGAACATTCAAATAAATCTCCATCACACTTAATTACGTCTAACAATTTTAATATAACTCAAATTAAACTTGAACAGTCAAAAGATTCAAATATTCAGAAGAAGATTAAAGAACTTATGCAAGATCCAACAAAACATCCTTATGTAGTTACGAACGGTTTATTATATAAATTGGTATTAATGAATGTTGCTAGTAGTAAGAAGAAGAAAGTAATTTATTTACCTTCAGCCATTATCAATTCCCTCCTGCACTCATACCATAATGATCCCGTTAGTGGTCATTTTGGCATTCAACGAACATATTTAAAAAAATTAAAAATAAATTCTGGTGGCCAAATATGAAACAATCAATTATTCAACATATTCAATCTTGTTTACCTTGTCAACAACATAATATTAGTCATACAAAGAAAGCAGGTCGACTTAATCCAATTCCAACTCCAGAGGGACCCTTTCAATTAATAAGTATTGATTATTGTGGTCCGTTCAAACCAACACCTCGTGGTAATCAATATGTATTATGTATTACTGATTATTTTACAAGATGGATGACTGTAATAGCTTTACCTGATTGTTCAGCACAAACCACAGCTCAAACATTATTTAATGATTATATTTGTCAATATGGTGTACCATTAGCTATATTATCTGATCAAGGTACTCATTTTAAAAATCAACTTATGGAATCTATAGCAAAATTAATTGGTTACAATCATATCTTTTCAAGTGTTTATCACCCATAAAGTAATGAGATGATTGAACGTTTTAATGCGACATTCGTTCCTTAAATTGCCAAACTTCAAGATCTAGAAGGTAACAATTGGGATGAATTCTTATCACCAGTGATATTTACTTACAACATCGGCATCCATGCAACGACTAATTATTCATCATTTCAACTACAGTTTGGTCGAGAATCACGTTTACCTACTGATGAACCTTCATCATCGTTTACTTTCAATAAACCAAATGATTAATATGTACAATTGAAAAAAAATTTGTTGATAATACAACAACACGCATGTGATAATATTATTCATCGACAACGACAATACAAGATTAATTATGATAAACAACGTCCAGATCCACATTATGAAATCAATGATCCACTACTGATTAAAATTCATGGAATAAAGAAAAAATTAGAACAACAATATTCGATTACACCAAAAATAATTATTAGAAAACAACATCCAATTTATTGGGTCAAAGATGCAAAAATACAGGTCGAATCCAGAATACATGTTAATGATATTCGACCTACTCTTATTTTAAAATCAACATGATATATTATTGTTTAATTATTTGCTAATATGATCATTAAATGTTAATGTTATGTTATGTTTATGGTAATTCGATGTTTGATCATCTTTGTTGTATGTTCAACGACTTAGTTGAACTAACATCGATTCATTATGCTTGTGAATATATTGATATTTTAATTAGCGCGCATTAATTATCAATATAATTATTATTTGCATATGGTTAGCATTAACAAATATTGGTTATTACAAAAACAAACAAATTACACACAGGAAATCTTCTCTTTTAGAAATGTTTCTGTTTTCAACAAACAAAGTTATTTATGTTTTAACTTTACACATATTACATCTTTTATTAATATACTAACGATATCTATGTATGCAATCTTGATCGGTTTATTCCTCAGAACGAATGATAAATTATATGATTTATTTGTTTACCTTATTTATATTATCCTTTTTTCCTCTTCACTTATTTTATATCAATTTGTTTAATCTTCTTTTCTTTAGT